TATATATATGAGATATATATATATATATATATATCGGCCAGTTACGCACAATCTAAGCTGTTCATCAATGATGCAAGCTTATAGCCTCACAGTTATTGTCGAGATGTTTCAGCCGATAGGCCACGCTGCGGCTTCAGCTGCAGATGTGCGTCATTTTCGCTTTCTTCGGCGACATTTCTATTACTGGGCGATTCGCTGATATCCACCATCGTCCAAGAACATTTCCCTTATAATTATCCCTGCGAAACCGTGGTGCTTGACCAAGGACAGAATAAATATGCAATTTATCGGACAGCGGCCTAATGATGGTAGAAGGAAAGCCGAACATCAATTGACGTACTTGACGTGCGCATAGTTCCTGAAAGCGTCCAGTCGAGCATCGGTCTTATGATCGTCCATGTCCGGCCTTTCAGAAACATGCCGCGCCAGTTTGTGTCCGTGAACGCGTGGAACATCTCGAACCCACAGTCGCGGGAAGTCTCGACAGCAAATAACGAGAGCGGTGATGGTCAACAAACGAGAACGTCCACTTTCGTCTCGTTTTGCTGCGTTTTCGGTGTGCGTGCACGCTAAATCCTTCGACGCAGTGCCGCGACGCTTTACCAGAAGTATCATAACTAACATTCGAAGTGTTGTGAAGTAATAACAGAAGATACGAAAGGTTATCACAACACAAACACCCGACGGGTCATTAGTCGGTGTATCGACGGCGCGGTAGTAAGCGTCCTTGTCGATAATCTGTAGCAGCGACAAACTACCGAGTCGGATTTTCCGTTACATGTTTCGTAACTCGTGAAGCTGGTGCCTGCAACTCCGGCGTGGCGGTAGGCAATTCCCGGCGATTGACATTATGCGACGAGACGTCACGTATACGCCTATGCCGTGACGCAGGGTTAGCTTGTTGCAGGTCATAGGGTTCAACGCTATAGCACCTCGCACGAGGAAGACGTACGGACCATCATCAATCCACTGTCGCAGTGAAACGTGCTCGATAGTTTGACAGAGCTCCTATCGCCAATGATTGAAGCGTAGTGAGGGTGATATTAAGCGAAGGAGGTAAGTTCCGCAGAAGAGATCGACAAAGATCTGGCCGGCATCGTAGATCTCACGACTGCACGACTAGTCGGCGACGGCCCATGTCAGCCCGGACAGAAAGATAGTCAGGCCGTTAGAGAAGCGAACGCGCTGCTGCGCAGCACGATCCGGTTGCAGACACATTACGCCGCGTCCTGGCCGATAGAGCGAGCCCGGCATGGGAATGAGAAATGCATAACGTGAGTCGGTCAGGATATGTTACCTCGTGCAACCGATGTCTTCTCTGCGCGAGAGAATTCATGCCTGGCTGCAGTCCTCATCGAAGGTAGTCGCTCGCACTCATGGTTCGCGCATTGTATGACCTAGGCGTTCTGCATCTGGTGCTACCCGTCCGGTAGCATGCTCGTGCCCGCTAACATGGAAACACGCGCTATGGCGCCGGGTAGTGTGTACGTGAGCATAGTAGAATCCCTTGACTTGTGGCGCAGTGAGACGCATAGTGCTGTCGTTTACGTGCCGCTCCAAATATTGTCGAGCGTGGTGCATATCTAAATAAAAATTTAATATCTGCTTCCCGAAAGTTTTGGCGTGGGTTATCCGCGACGCCAGCCGGAGTCGATTAATACCAGCCATCTAAGTTCGTTGTGAAATCGCCTGCAATAAACTGAATACGTCCGTGTGCCGCGTGGGTGCGCAGTTTGGGCATTGCAAGAGGTTAGTGTTGGGGAGAGTGTTTGACCTATGTAAATAACAGCTGAAGCGACTGGCAAACAATTTATTGCCAGTGTGACAATAATGAACGATGACAGATAGCTAATAGTGTCACAAGTAATATATGTTAGCCATTTTCCGTGTCAACGATCGTCATATGGCATGCTCGGCCTGCGTGTGCGTCGTCATGCATAGGTAGGTGTGCGTTGTTGCGCGCTGATTCCGCGTCCGCGTGCGTGCTGTGCGTGGCGTGGGTGTGTACGTTCCCCGCAAATTTCGCTGCGAACTGGTTGGTATCAAGTATTATTTTTCTTCAGGAAACCTCTAAATGCGCGTGCCTACATAGCGTGATTCTTTCTGAAAGCATTTACTCCACATAATCGCTGGAACTACCCTCTTGACAGACAGAATGGGAACGCCAACAATAAAATAATAGCAATTTATAAGCGAATATTCACATATGATCAATCATTAAGAAATTGCAGCGCTGATTTTTTGTAGATCAATCCCTGGCCATTTTAAGAAGCGTTGAGTCTACCGAATAGAATACGTACGTAGGGTGGTTCGGATTGCCCGTCTATTTTGCTCCTTGCTGTAGAAGCAAGGGTTTTTGCAATTAATTCCTTTATAATAACAATTCTATGTCATCTGCTCTTGCATAAACAAATCCTCTGTATCTCTCCTCTCTCTCTCTCTCTCTCTCTTCGTCTCTTCGTCCTCCTGCTCATCTCCATCTCTCGTCTTTTCTCTGTCTCTCTCGTTTCTCTTTCATCATCTAAACTCTCATCGCCTCAGCTCCTCACATCTCCTCACTCTCGGCTCTGCTCTTTCAAGTAGGTTTCTCTCTCCTCTCTCTCTTCTCTCTCTGCTCTCTCCCTCTCGTCTCCTCCTGCTCTACTCTCTCTCTCTTGTCTCTCTCACTTCCCCCCGCCTCTCTCTCTTCGCGCCACTCGTGTCATAATTTCGTACATCTAATATCACAAACAACAACACCATACCATATATCATTATAGTATATTGTGTGTGTGTGTGTGTGTGTGTGTGTGTGTGTGTGTGTGTGTTGTGTTTTGTGTTGTGTCCGTCGCGCGTGTTGCGGTGCGTGTAGTGTGCGTG